GTTTATATTTGATCTGTATTGGTTTTTCAAGATTTTTTCATGCTTCCCACTTTCTAGTAAGTTCTCACCCATACCCACTTTATTTTTGTATAAGTATCAGTCACTGAAAGTTTACATCAAATTTATGGTGTGACTGTGAGCGTAGAGACGAGACGATTTGTGAAAAGAAGACTTTTACTAACACCCAGAACTCATATCGACCCACACACACTGAAATCGACAAAATTCTCTGTTAAAATTAAAGTTGCTGAGAATCCATTTTAACTGACTCGTGCGAATAAGGGTGTAGGTGGGTATAGGTTTAGGATGTGGGTGCTTGTGAAAGTTAGCCTTCTTTTCAAAAACATCTTATCCTCAGGCTCCATTAGAATAGAAAATTGGACTGTGCTATTGTTCCAGCTTCCTCAAGGAATATATTTACAAACATATTATTGGTATGGAGCTAGTCAACGAGGCTATCAGCACACAAAATATGAGTCGGTTTAGTTAAGCTGTGACAGAGTGCCAGTCATTTTACTGATGACCTCACTTTTCCAGAAGTCGAATGTCATCCTTCTGCATAGCCTAACTCCACAAGAATATAATATTCCAAGGCCAAATTTTTACCAAGTACTCCTCAGCCTCTATTCTATGTTTCCTACAAGTTTCAGCTAGTTATATTGTTGAAAATTATATTTATCCAAAGTACAAGGGGATAGATGCGGTTGAAAAATGATTTACATGATAGTATTTCAAGAGTCATTATTGACTCAAGCACTTGCTTCTCAATAGCACCACTCGAAATGTCTGTACAGGAACTATCCTCGTATCGCTTTTGATATATAAATAGACGAAATTATCATTTCTAAAAGAAGATATGATACAATCATCTTATTATTGAATCGAAGGAAATTCAAATATCTTTACTTCGCATTCATATTTCGATCGACTCTTGATGGTATATGAAAACCAAACGTTCTCTTTATTTGCTATGCAATCCGTTGGAGATGAATTGATCTTTTGAGGCAATTAAATGGAAGAATAAAAAAATTAAGAAAAGTCAAAGTTGCTCTAAAATATAATGAGCATAGCACTGAAATTAGATTTTTCTACTCAATACACATCCGATTAGTGAAATTTCTATCTCTTTCGTACTTTTATGGCTTACCGATGTTTGTCTTATAATAATTAATAAGTCATTAATATGACTAATGGAATTGATCGATTTTCACCGATGATGCAAAAAATGAGCTAAGTGGAAGTTATACTGTTACGACATAGAGCCTAATTAAAACTTAGACATTTTTACATAGAAATGAAGACCAGATGACACCCTTCTTATGGTAAAAGTCTCAAGCGGTTCGCTTCTTGACTATGAGCGTAAGGGAGTCATCTTGGTAACACGGACAGGCATGTGCCATTTTCTGTCATAACATTATACCTAGCTGAAACTTGTAGGAAACATAGAATAGAGGCTGAGGAGTACTTGGTAAAAATTTGGCCTTGGAATATTATATTCTTGTGGAGTTAGGCTATGCAGAAGGATGACATTCGACTTCTGGAAAAGAGAGGTCATCAGTAAAATGACTGGCACTCTGTCACAGCTTAACTAAACCGACTCATATTTTGTGTGCTGATAGCCTCGTTGACTAGCTACACATTGATGGATAAATCAACCAAAAACCATTCAGTCCTTATTAGAAACAACAGTCAAAATAATGGACAGATGAAATTTTGGTTCTCATGGAATACAAATGTGTTTGGACTGCGGTTTGCACCGACGATCAGGGTACATCGGGAAAGGTATTCTTGCAAAGTTTCAGCCCATGAGACCTTAGGAAACCGGAGATCTAAGGGGCTGGAGACTTCTGAGCAGTACTGTATATCTCTTAGCAAAAATTGTTTATTTATCTATCGATTTCCAATATCTTGCTTTGAAAATCAAACCTACTTACTTGGATTTTAAATAAAAAACTTAGCAAAAATGTGTTTTTTACTTGAAATATTTCAATAAATTACTTAAGAAAAATCGAATTTGTTACCTAGCTTTTATTTAAAATTACTTAGAATTTAAATGGGAACCTATGAAGAGGTCTCTTTTGAGCAAAAATCTTGAAATCCTCTACATTTATGCTTTTTCTCACCGTTTATGGTCCTTTTCTCGATGTTTATGGTCCGAAAATAGGAAGTTATGACTATCGAAATAGGAGTTTATGTTTTTTCAGTAGGAAGTGATGCTCCTTCCTAATAATTATTAGATATCACGAAGCAAAAAGTATAACTTCCTACTCGAAAAGCATATATATTAGATCCCAATTCCACTTGAGCTTAACTCTGTATGAATCTCTCTCTTCGTAACAACCTAACGGCTAAATATAGGGTGATAACAATAGTGAAAAATCCATACGATGGAAAGATCTCATAGCTGATGAACAAGAAAGGAGAAAACTATAAAACAAGTTGAAAGCAGAAAGAACAGAAAAGTCCATCACACATACATATATGACAGGAAAGGAAAAGTCCATCACATATACATATATGACAGAAGGGAAAAATCTATTTTCTATTAATAGAATATTCAGTTTTTAGAAATTTTGTTGTAGTTCGAGTAAAAACACAATATGATGATGAAAAATCCTGATCAGAGCCGGGCAGGATTATTCAGTTGCGGATTTTCACTAATCTTAGTTTAAACTTTATTATAGAAGAAACAATAATCAAATTGCCGTACCCATTGCATGACAGTAGGAGAGAGGGGAGACACGAAAGAAATACAAAATAAAAAAACAAAAAACTAGATAAATAATCAAGAACAAAAACAAGTGGTAAAGTTTTACCAGTTGAAAACAGTATAGAAGCAATATAGATTTCAGTGATGAGAAGGAGATGAGGATGATTTTCTGTGTCGACTGCGTGAGTGAGGTATGAAGAATTTTCACGTAAGAGAAGTAACGTCAAATATGCCCCAAAGCGGTTAGACTCTCTAATGAAATCAACGATAGCCTTATAAATGCTTTTACTTTTTTCAACTTCAATAGACAAATCCCTAAAGCCAAAGAGTAGAAAGTGAAGAGGGAGAATAATTTGTGTGCCCAAAATAACTAATCTTGTTTTATTCCTGGTAAGATCCTTCTCTAATACAACATAATTCTTGACAGGATCCTCGTGTCAGGATCTAGAACAGATCTTGACTCAAATCTAATGAAATCTTGACGAAATCCTCTGTATGATTTTTGTCAGGTTTCTGAATAGGATCGAAAGTGAACCTTGAGAGGATCCTGCAATATCAATTCGGAAAAATCCGAGCAAGAATCTGAACCAATCCTGAATCAAACCTGACAGGATCATTAAGATTTATGATTCTGAAAGATTCGTCAAGGTTGTCTCAAAGAACCGAGATTTAACTCGAGATATAACAATAGTAAACTTGTCAGGATCCCTAATAATCTTGTTTTGAATCCTGTCAAGATCGCGAAATTCCGTGGCTACACGTGTGTTTCAGGATTTCGTCGTTTCCTCAGGAAAAAAGAACGAATCCTTGCAGGATCCTGACCATATCTGTTAAGGATCTCGCAGGGAAACATTAAAGATTTTCCTTAGGGTTTTAACTTATAAGAGACCTCATGAAAGCCCCTCTCATACTTTTAGGATATTCTCTAAATCCTCTACTTTTATGGCTTTTTCTTTGCTTTTCGTTTATGGTTCTTTTTTCACCGCTTATGCCCCGAAAATAGGAAGTTATGACTACCCAAATAGGATTTTATTGTTATGATCTGCATCATCTTCAGATGCAATCATAAGGATTTCCCTCATTATCTATATGATTATATGTATGGGCTTAGATTCTTCTTCTCTTCTCATATTGTTATACATGCATTATAGATTTTTTCCTTCTGTCATATACACTCTTTATGAATGAACTACCGCACCTTAGACAATCTGAATGCTTAGGAAATTTATGATATATTCGAACAAATCTAGTCAGTGGGTTGCTTCAAAATATTCATTGTGTCTCGTCATCGTTGTGATGCCAACAATTCTCCAGCCTCTACGAACACATCTAGTGTATCTTTGTAAGCTCAAAACACCTCTCCTGGCTTTTTTTACTATATTTCGCAGCAGAAAAAGGCAGAAAAGGATATCTTTATAGCGACTGACTACTAGAATATCGTTGCCGAGTATTAACGGTAATTTTATTCATTTATTTATTATTTCTGTAAACATAGTCTTCTATACTTGGGAATAAAGTATCAGTAACCTGATTTGAGACTAAAAAGGTATATTAATTTGTAATAAATACTTGGTCTAAGACCCTACAACAAAGAGAAAAGAAGATATATGCCGTGCGATGTGTCACTTATTTATCATCGAACTTTCTCACTTTCTTTCATCCCTTCGATGCCTACGTGCCTTACACGAGGTATCGAGGGTGAGATCTCTGCGACACACTAATGAGGTATAGAGGGTGAGATCTTAATGATTGTTTCAATATATTTTTCTACATTTCAATCCGACGCTCATAAAGAATTTTACCTAAACTCGATCATTGAATTGCAGATTGAGACTGAATAAAAAGTGGAAATTTTTATTAGATTGAATCGGCCAATGTGAAATTTCTAGAAAGAATTTTTATCGTTTAGAATTAAATTTTCTTCGGAATCCTATCTAAGTCTTTCTCCATTTTTCTAAAAGTCAGTTTGAATGAAAATACAACGAACTGGAATTGTTGTGATATTAAACAATTTTAGATGTTTTATGTTTAATTTATTGACTCTAGATGGAATACGCTTCTTACAATTAACATAGTCATCAACTATTTTTCAATCATTCCAAATGCCAACAATATAAGATCAATTGGTAAAATTATTTCATTCAGATTACTGCTTTGAATATACTTAAAAGTTGCAGATAAAAGTTGTAGGTGAAAGAAAAAGTTATTTTTGTTTTTATGTATAGATCAAATCGAAAGAACTAAAGTTGAAAGTATCACAAATAACATTCGTGAGACAGTTTCTAACGTCATGGATTCCAACATAAATAAAAATGCTCGTCGTATTGATATTCATCATCATATTGTTCCTGATTTTTATGCCAAGGCCATTGAAGAAAATGGTGCTTATTCGAATAAATGGCCAGTTCCAACATGGTCAGTTGAACAAGCTAAAGAACACATGTCTATTTTAGGCATTGAAACTGCTATTGTTTCGGTGCCTACACCTGGCGCGAAGATTTATGAAGACAACAAAGAAAAAAGAAGAATTCTTGTTAGAAAATTAAACGAATTTATGGGTGATTTAGTTAAAAATAATCCAAAAGAATTCGGATTTTTTGCTTCTCTTCCTTCTTTAACCGATGTTGAGGGTACTCTTAATGAAATTAATTACGTTCATTCAACACTTAAACCTGATGGATATCTGTTATTTACTAGTTATGGTAATGGCCAATATCTTGGTCATCCATCATTTAAAGCGATTTGGACCAAACTGAATGAATTAAAAGCTGCCGTTTTTATTCATCCATGTGAAGCATCAACAACCGTTGCTATTGAATATCTTCCACCACCTCTGCTTGATTTTCCTCATGAAACAACACGAACAGCATCGGATATTGTTCTTAGTGGTACTCGTGCTGCATGTCCTGATATTAAGATTATTCTTTCTCATGCTGGTGGTACTCTTCCTTTTCTTGCTCGTCGCATAACAATGGCAGGTGCTATACCTTCTCTCCATTGTCCACGACAACCTGAACAAATTTTATCCGATTTCCGTTCATTTTATTATGATACAGCTTTATCATCGAGCGTTCCACAACTTCAAGCACTTCTTCATTTTGCTGATCCATCAAAAATTATATTTGGCAGTGATATTCCTTACGCTCCATTATCTGTAACACTTGATTACAGCAAAAGTCTCGATACATTCTTTCTTAATCAATTTCAAAATTTTTCGCAAGCTATCAATCGTGAAAATGCCAAAAAATTATTTCCTGACAAATTCACAGACTAACTCAACGATGAATTATCTTTGATACTTGAAAAAGTTGAAAAATTTACGAAAAACTGAAGTAAAACATATTTGATTAGACAATCTAATTCAGACAGTATTGGATTTCACTAAATAGAAAATATATTTATTCAAAAGAAATTCAAAACTCAATGAGTTTTATCTACTGACAAAGAATTTTTTTATGATGAAAAAGATCGCAACAGGCCTAACAAACGTGTAGCCACGGAATTTCGCGATCTTGTTGTTTGGAATGATAAATGGGTAGTAGAAATATTTGTTTAGAAAATTAGTGTGTCCCATAGGAGTAACACTTTAAATTTATTTTACTTTGAAAAAGTAAAGTAAAGATAGTGGCATCTCTATCATAAGAACAACGGGTGTAAATTGACTTGAAAATAATCAGAAAAAATTGCCAGTGTTAGGCAGAACTCAAGTATGTGTCGGAATGAAGGAGAAAAGCGTTGTATTGTTATTTCTCTTTAATTGCAATGAGGTTCTGTCTTTTATCTAATATTGACAATTTGTTTTTTTTAAAATCGTATGGTAGTCTTTTGCATTCATTTTTCTCGGTATTAATTTCTCGTACAAAATAGCTATACATAACGTATGGAAAAAACGTTTTCAGAACTTTTGTAATCGATGTATTTCTGCAGGCACTTGAGTAATTTGAGCTTGTAAGTAGTAATTAAGAAGAGCATCTGAAAGTGTACTTATCGTGTAAAAATAAAGGCTCCAGCTCAAGAAATAAGAGAGATAAAATGTGAGAAAATCATGAAGATCATTGTTTTTGTTAGGGGTGTACAGGTCGCTCTCATGAGCGTGACCGTTTTTACTTTCACCCTAATTGGAGCCTATCTCTGGGTACTATTCGTAACTCCGGGAGGCGACTTTAAGGTGCCATTAGTAACTTCCTGGGAGCTATCTCGAGGTACTAATGGTGAATTCCTGGGCAACATGGAGATGTCATTAGTTACTTCCTGGAGGCTATCTCGGGGTGGCATCAGTAACTTGCAGGGTCTATCGGGGAGCACTATCAGTAACTTCCTGAGAGCTATATCGTGGTATCATAAGTAATTTTCTAGGGGCTATCTCGGGGATATTTAATAGAAGTTTAGGATTCTACTGATTTGCTAGGAGGAGAAATGTGAATATTGCTGCATGGAATAGGATGATGCAGAGTGTTATTTAACAATAGTTCTATTAGGTAAAAGGACCTTGAGAAGCTGACAGTTTTTTTTAGGAAGCAATATAGAAAATTCATGAATTTGCACAGAATCTTGGTGTTTATATATGTTATTAGACTTAATAAATGTGAGCGATTCACAGCAGCGGTTCTGGTTCAAACCAGCCACAGCCTTGAAAATCAACACAGTTTTTGAATATCATCGTGGCAGCGGCAAGTTTTTTAATGGTGCGGATTGTCAGCCGTGACAAACATCTCTGATCTGTCAGGAGCAGATGTTAGTTAGTCAGTACATTCTTTAGCAACTTAAGGGCACGAACGAAACGCCCCAGAGAAGTCCATTGTTCAAAACAATAACATTTATCGTTGGGCATCTTTATAATTCAAATTTGAACAAATAAATATTTTCTGAAGTGCATGTGGTTCGAATAGATGTATCAATAATTACTTTCGACGCATGCCATTTCGACGAATTGCATTGTTTTAATTGTTCTTTTGACGGCTCTGTTATGATACGTTCGAATTTTAGCAAAACTAACATGATGGGATCAACAATGATCAACAGTCGAATTCATGAAGTTCAATTTGGTACGAGTGTTATGCGCAACATGAATTTTTCCTATGGACAATTTTACGACACTGCTCTTTATCAAGTTGATTTTCCGAATAGTATTTTCATTGACACTTCATTCAATCAATGTAGTTTTGACAAATCAACTGTCACCGACAAACAATTACCCCCAGGTCGTCAGCTTCTCAACGTTATTTTACCTAATGGAACTATTGTTAAGTAACACTCTGTATCGTCCTATTCCATGCAGCAATGTTCACATTTCTCCTCGTAGTAAATCAGTAGAATCCTAAATCTCACTTCTTCAATCGAGCTTTTCAAATATCGATGGAAATCAAGGAATTCATGCAGTTGAATCGAATAAAGATTTATAGTACTCAGGAAAATATGGAGGTAACGACGGAAATGGTTTCTTCGTTTGCATCGATATTTCATGTTCTATTGAAGAAAGTAGCACCTACATTCTATTCAGTTAGTAAACACTACGATCGCGCACTCTGAAACAGTCTTATTCCTTGCTTATATGGGTTCTTACACACCATCTAATACAATCATTCACAGCTCGACAATATCCGGCATTGTTGCATCAGGTTTAGACGCTGGCGCGGACGGTACAAAAAGAAAAAAGAAGAAAGAGGCTATTATGATCGACTTTTAGGCCAGGGAAAAGGTGGCATAGCTGGCGCTGTACATGATACTTGCATTAGTAACATGATCTCGGGGTGGCATTAGTAACTTGCAGGGGCTATCAGGAGGTACCATCAGTAACTTTCTGATAGCTATATCTGGGTACCATTAGTAATTTCCTAGGGGCTATCTCGGGGTACTATTAGTAACCTCCACGGCACTATTTAGGGATACCATTAGTAACTTTCTGGAGGCTATCCTGAGTTTTTTTTTACAACACATTTATAGTACCCGGTACTGCTATCTTATCAGCATATATCAACGGTGTAGAAGTTAAGTTCACATACGATTTGACTCAAGATTTCACACACATGGGATATTCTAGAGCGGCCAGTTTTACTAGTTCAGTTCGGCTGATATCAATACCAGATGTTGGTTGCGATGAGTACGACGAGTTGGCTACAATATCTCCACTACAATATCTACTGATTCTGTAGCGCTTGTGAAACGTGGTATTTGTACTTTCATTGAGAAATCTCTCTTGCCTGCTAACTATGGTGTAGCTGGTCTCTTGATTTACAATGAGGATGCTACAGCAGACCGAAATCCTCCCATTCTAGCGAATGTACACGAAGATGCAACATATCCAGCCTTATTTTTGTCTTATCAAGCTGAAACAACTTTAGTTAATGCAGCACAAAATTTAACTATGAATACAACTGTAAGAATTCGCATTTCAACTGAGAAAGTCGCAGCTCCCATCGGTAATATTTGTGCTCATACAGTGACGGATGATGCAATTGAAACAATTATCATTGGAAGCCATAGTGATGGGGTATCAGCTGGTCCAGGAATTAATGACAATGGTAAGATTCATTTTGAATTTTTCTTAGAGTCGCAGTATACTTAGTCAAAAAAAGTTAATATGCTACTTGTATCATCAATATTTTTCGAAAACCTCATTTTGTTAAGGAAACGCAATACTTTAAAAAAATATAGCTCTCATCTTTTGTCACTGTTTCTCCTATAAACAATAGAAATTTTTTATAAAAAGAAAACATGTTGGTACTGAAACTTATTCCTTATGTCTAAGAAACTTGATATCTTTAAATTCCTTTTTTTTGCAGTGATTTAATTCAGTAGTGAATTGTTTTTAAGCATGAAAGGTCGCGGCCATTCTGCCCAGTTTTTGTGGAGTATGGATAGTAAATCTGCAATAATATATCAATTCGGATGTCTGAGTATACACCTTCGCGAAGAAAGGCTTTTATTATCGCAGTTTGCGTTTATAGATGATTTCAGGATTCCTTTCATTATGTTTCTCAGGACTGGAAATACCAAACTATGTTATAACTTGTAGGTAGCGGCAGTGCCACGAATCCTGTCCTCGCACCTCGCAACAAACTAGGCCCATCTATTCCAAACTTCGTCTTGTCCACATTACAGATACCGTGTAAAATTCTGTTGGTGGGGTGGCGACGAGGTCGGTACTGTTGGCTCTGACTATCATGTTTCTCAAGCCAATCAAGGCACGATTGAAGGCGAACGTATTTCAGATTATCTTGTTAATGTTAACTATGACATGTTAGGGCTACCAAATTTTCATATGGGAATATATGATGGTAACACAGCTGATCGTAATACAACCCCATCGAAAGCCATTCTGGTAGTATTCGATTAACATCGTTATTTCGTGATTGGTTTACCCGTGACAATTTGCCGTACAATATGAGCGAATTTAATGATCGGAGAGATTATGGTCCATTTTTGGCGGCTGGCATTGTTGTATCAGGTTTAGACGCTGGTGCAGAGGGTACAAAAACAAAAGAAGAAAGAGACTATTATAATCGAATGTTAGGCCAGGGAAAAGGTGGCATAGCTGGCGCTATACATGATCCTTGCTACCACCAAGCTGGTGACTCATTAGCTAATATTAATCCCTTGGTTTATGAGAAATTGACACAAGGAGCCGCTCATGTATCTGAATATTTAGGAAGACATTCTGATTTACGTTCGTATTTGTATCCTCAAGCAGAAACCCGGCAACTAGAAAAATCATCGACGAACAAAGCAGCACGAAAGCATAACGCACAAAATGAATTTTATAGAAAAACTGACTTGTAATAAAATATCTCGATTATGTGACTAGAATGCTCGGAAACCAGGATAGTTTCAACTCAAACGTTTTGAAGAATTTTAAAACTAATAGTTTTTTTCATGATTGTCGTTTAGTAAGAATGCGTACGTGTTTCTGTTATGGCTTTAGCTATAGATAATAAATATTTTTATTAAAAGTGCCAAATTAGATAAAAACTTAAACATCATCCAAAAATCGAATGTCGAAGAAGTCCAGAGTAGCCGAAACTAAACCGAGCATTGGTTTATACGCATGGAAACAAATGTGTTCGAATGATGTTTTAAATAGCGCCGGTTACGAAGAAAAAAAACACGTATAAACGATAGCGCTGAATAACCTCGTCTTCGAACTGCACGCATTTCTCTTTCCTTTTCTTTTCTGTTTTTTCTTTTGATGTTTGTGTATGCTTCATTCGCTCGACTTACAAATACACACGACAGGTAATCTTTGATTGCAATGACAAAAAAAATCCTTATCACATGTGCCGCAGGAAAAATATCTAAATTTCTCTCGCCCCTTCTGCTAAAAAGCGGTTACAATCTTCGAGCATTCGTTCACTCTGAACAATCGGGCAAACAACTTCAAGCAGCACTAGATGGACTTTCAGATGGTGCCACTTTGGAGATATTCGTTGGTGACTTGGAAAATCCATTGGACGTGAGAAAGGCACTCGAAGGTATCGATATCGTCTTTCACATCGGACCTTCCATGCATCCATGCGAAGACAGCATCGGAAAGATCGTCATTGACGCGGCAAAATCTGCATCTGTTTCACATTTCATTCTCTCTTCGGTACTCCATCCGGTTCGGACAAAACTGCTCAATCATCGAATCAAAATCGCCGTGGAAGAGTATCTCATCGAATCTCGCCTGTCGTATACGATCCTGGAGCCAGGACACTTCATGCAAATGACACAATGTCAACAGATTGCTGATAAAGGTACCATGAATCTGTTGTATTCGTTCGACGAATTACAAGGGTACCTTGATCTTGCCGATCTTGCAGAAGTCATCCTAAAGATTCTTCAAAACCTTCCACAGCATAATCGAGCAACGTACGAACTTTTAGGCGACAATCGAACTGGCCGCGAAGTGGCACAGTACATTTCGAAGTACAGTGGCAAAGACATTAAATGTGAGCTGCTTCAATTCGAACAAAATAAGGATAAGCTTCCAATGCTCAAGAACGCTAGTGAATACACCGAAGATTGCTATGCGAGAATCTTTTTCTACTACAATCGTTGGGGCTTGACTGGAAACAACAATATTTTGCGTTTTCTACTTGGACGAGAGCCTACTTCGGTGGAAGACTATGTCATGAAGTGTTTGAAAGCATGAACTCATTTTCTAAATATATATCTAATAAACGATTTTTTACTTCTAATAAATTTTCCTTTTTTTAATGTATGCAAGATCACTTCTTCGTTTAACCGAGAACAGTAGAGTAAAAGATTGACTGATGACATCGAGCGAGAACTCTTTTGTCTTTTTCTAATATAAAATTAAAAAAAACATATTGTCGCAGCACAAAAAGTACCTTGTAAAGTGGGATCGGGGCATAGGTTGCTAAAACATGGCCATTTGTATCATAGTTACCAGAACAGAATCATTTTTGCCATAGGTACTAAAAAAATGGTCATTCTACCATAGTAACTAAGGTGCACGCAAAGCAAGGTTCGAGCAAAAAATTTTTTTTTCGATGTTTCAGACACCATTCGATAGAGAATTTTACGGCGATCAAGAATATGTGTTCCCTGAAAATTTTCGATGCTTCTTTCTAT